TGTTTTAGCATATATACAATATAAGACACTCTAAACTACGGTTTATGTCGAGAATCGACTAAACCGTAGCTCTGATACCATTAAATGTAACACCCCCCAACTCGTACCCGACCCAGATACGAGTCCGAGGCGTCACATTGACTTTTCAAACTTTGACTCTTAAAGAAAATTAAGGAAATTTTAAACTTTCATTAAAATAAAAGTTGTTAATATACAAAAGTTGACCCAAAACAATACAAAATCGATCAGAGCATTCGTAACTCACAATTTCTTACATTCCAACACACTATATACAACAAAATACCTACTTAGTCAGTTACTTCTGATCTGATCTTCTAATCAGGTATATTATATGTGCCACTCCTAATTCTGGTCTTCTTGCTTCTTGGTACCTACGTGTAAATCACTTACACGCTAAGTCACAGACTTAGTATCAATCCATAATGACATTGCAATGTACATGTATATACTAATCTATAACATATATAATTATGATATAAACAAATAAACTTTAACTTTTTTATAATAGTATTCATTCAGTTTATCTTTGGATGCCCATATACATTATTGAGAACAGGAGATACGTGAGTACACTGAGGTTGTGCACAATGCTGTCACCACAACTCGAATAAATTCCCACTAGGGGCACTAAATATTTGTCTCGAATGACCACTATGTCCCGAATGACCACTTTGTCTCGAAAAACCACTGATAATCCCTCGACTCTTGGCATACCAATTATACCTATAGCTCTCATATTAAATAACATGGGCTTAAATATGAACACATTTCTCATTTTCATATCTCTTTTATCACTTTTCATATAAACACATAATTCACTTCATATGCACACATATGATCACTTCCATTATTTCACATACCTGGATTGATTCTCTTATAATGACATTCATTCATATAATATCATATTAAAGCATGGATGAATTATGCATGAAATCGCTATAACAATATTATATATATATATATATATATATGTATGTATGTATGTATGAATGTACATGAATATAAAATCATAAATTCAACTATAAGAGATAGACTTATTGCAAATCTTATCTCCATACAATTATATCTAGGATATGCACTCACCTTAGCCTTGCTTGATTCTAGTGCTTTCTCTCTCTCGACCGTTTCTAATTCTTCGATTGTTCCGGAATGGGATTATGTTCAATATCTACATAATCAAACATGGATCCATATCAGTATTTTAATTGGTATACTCTAATCTTTCATTCCTTAAACTAAAAGAAAGTCCACTTTCATTTCTTATTTAAGGTAAGTATCGGTACACTATATATTGTATCGGTACATCCCTTAACGTGTGTATCGATACACTACCTATGTATCGGTACACAAATTACATTCAAAATTTTTCATTTTAAGGGGGTATCGATACACTTCCTATGTATCGGTACACTTTGAATATTTTCCTAAATTTTACCCTTGATGTATCGGTATCTGTTGAATGTGTATCGATACACACCAGCCCAGAATTCACATTTTAAGCACAAAAATTTCTTCATTTTCAGCTCAACACTTCATATTTCATTCCTTCACCTATCTTTAACTTACATAATCATACTTAAACTCATTTCTACTTCATAATCACCTCTTTAACCTCAAAATCCTATATTTCATATGTAATTCAAGAATTACACCAACTTTGCAACATGTTCTAAATTTAATTTTAACACTTCATACTTCTTAATTAGATTGATGAAAAGTCAAATCCAACATCCAATTCTAATTATGAACTCTATTTCAAGATTTCATTCAAGAACTTCTAATCTTTAATCTCTCCTAACTCCATCATCTTTTGATTTTAAGATAACTTAAGATTTCCTTGAGCTTAGTTATCATCTAATGATTATAAACCAACCTTAAATTCAACAAGAAACTAACTAGCCAGAAAACTCACCTTTGTTTTTGCTCTCACATATGAAGGAAGAAGAAGAGGAAGGGAACTATGGAAGCTTGCTTATTTTTCTTCACTTCCATGTGGTTAATATATAACCATTCAAAGATTTAATTATTTCCTTGTTAATTACCATTTTATCCCTCTATTCCTCTTTCTTTGTATTTCAATTCCTACACAACATTTCCCATATAAGCCCTTATACTATTCAATTATTCTTCTTTAATCACCAAATTCTGAAACTTTACAATTTAGTCTCTAACCCGATATTGAGGATATTACAGGCGTAACATAAGTATCACCTTCACTTGACACACAATCATCACAGGGTTATGGCGCTGTAGCATCTCCATGGGGGCTAGAAACATCACCTTGTTCAGCACACGGAGCAGTAGCAATGACTTCCTATTCTACACCCTGAGCACTATTTGTTGCCTCTGGCAAACCAGAACCAGAACCATCATCGTGTAGAATAGCATGACTATCACTGCTACTCGTCACTGTACCACGTCCAAAGTCTACTGCATGACAACCAGCTCGAAATTTACACACATCATTCATAATTTCTAGTGACCCAGGTGGACTGCACATAGCAGGACCAATAGACGACTCACCATGCTTTTCTGCAAAAGGAAATTGCATTTTATCAAAAACTACATGTCTGGTTATATAAACCCAACCATCAGTAACAAGGCATTGAAATCCTTTATGTTGCGGATTGTACCCTAAAAAGTATAGGGTTAGGATTGAAAATCCAATTTATGCTTCAAATAATGCCTCAAATGGGGAAAACATAGACAACCAAATACCCCTGCTGTTTATAATCAGGTTTCTAATGAAACAACTTTTTAAAGGGGGAGCTCATTGTAAGACCTACGTAGGAAGCCTATTTATCAGATGCACAATAGTAACCAAACATATGCCCTGAACTTGACTGACATAGAAGCTTGAGCAAGCAGAATAAGAGCAAGCTCAATCATATGGTGATGCTTGTGTTCAACCACTCCATCAACACAATATAGATCACATCAAGAGTCACCGACTCCCACATATCCGTTATCACAACCACAAACGATTGATACTCATAAGATAACCCCTTCAAAATGATAACAACATGCACAGCTTGAGACACCACACTTCCACAAGATGCCAAGGTATCACAGACCTTCTTTACTCGAGTAAGATATACTCTCATCCAATCATCACCTTTCTTAAGAGATTGAAACTTATAATGCAGACTAATAACAACAATATAGTAGATCGATTTACGAAAAACTACAGTACCATATTCTAAACCGTTGATGTCGTCTCTGCACCTATAAACTGAGGTAGAAGCTATGGACAAATCGTTAAAAGTAACCAAGACGCAAGCGCACTATCCTGAGCCACAAACTCCTCATACATGTTATTCAATACAACCTCTCATGAATCATCAAGCACCGTTGGCGATAGAGCAGGCTTCGATCCCGTCATCAACCGTTCCAAACGATGACTATGAACTGTGAGGATCACTTGTTGCTTCCATAACAAAAGATTTGTTTCATCAAGAACTACGTTTATGTTTTTATTTGAAAAAGCTTTAGCATTCCTCGAAACAAAATCCATCAGAGAAGACAAACTATCATTAGTCAACATGAAGAGAGAAGAAAAAAAAACCTCAAACAGCAAAAAAATAACGAAACCTCCCAGAACCTTCGGCAAAAGATACCATGTTGACATATCTAGTATGAAGTAAATGAGTAAAAATATTATTCGCACCATTGTCAAGTATAGTGACAGTGTTTATATACAGGTAGTTAACCCTAACTGCATGCCTAACTACTACACTAACATCACGCAACAGTACTAACAATATGGGCGGACCTTATAGTTCTCCTGGATATCCTAGACAACCCTTCAAAATTGTCTACTTAGTGTTAATTTTTTTAATTAATACAAGTGACACCCTAATATTGTGTGTAATTGTTGCTCTTTATTATAGGAAAAAATTAATATTATAAGAGTTTTTTATGCAACCTCTCAATTTTTATCCTGAATCCGCATCTTAACCAAAAAGCTCACACATACGTCAGCACACTACAAACTCCAATATAAAGAATCTGTATTACGAAGACAATGACTTCTAGTAAACCGAGCATTTTCTTTACGTAGAGAATCCATGCATCTTCTATTCTTGTCGAGGTGTAATTGTTTTCCCTCTACAAATAACTATTCCTGTCCTTATCTTCTTGTTTGAAACATGATAGAATAGGACACAGCTATCAACTAGAATAGGACACAGCTATCAACTAGCATATGACCTTATAAAGAATCTTTGTTACATTGGAAAAGATTTTTTTTTTTTTGTTGAAACGAGTTTTTCCTTCATACAAAGAGCTTTGTTATTCCTTATTCTCGAGGGATTGTAAGTATTTACGTCATTATCTTCGTATTTGAAGTATGATAGAATATGATATAACTGCAAAAAATGACTAGATAAGATGATCTTATAAAAAATCACTACTGTTGAATCAAGTCTTCCTTTTAGTTGATGTAAATATTTGTCTTTTGTAAAAAAACTATTCATGTTCTTGTCTTCATGTTTGAACCATTAATAGATAAGATACGCTTATTAGAACTGACTAGATAAAATGATCATATGGAGAATCTGTGTTGCAAAATGGAAGAACTTCTGCTGGAGCTTTCCTTTTATATAAAAAATCTTTATATCTCTTATTTCTGAAGAATTACAGCTGTTTGTCTTTTCTAAATAATTACTCTCATACTTATCTTTATATTTGAAATAAATATTCATGTTTAATTTCTGAAGGGTTTCAAAAGAAAATTGAATATTGAATCTTAAGTCAACTTACAGGCATAATATAAAAATATAACACTTCTTTTTCAAGTGTTTTTTAAATGGATTGATTGGATACTAACCCTAGTATATTGATTAATCGTAAAGTAAAAGAAAAATTTACAAATGAAATTTTATTTATTTTTTAAACCGATCAAGTCAACTTAACATTATTTAACATCGTCTTGCTTTTGATGATTCATTCATATCCTACCCATTATAATTATAATTATAATATGTTATTCTGATAAGCTGGCCTTGACATTTTTTATCATGACAGAGACTTCCCTCATAGTTGGTCGTTCATCAGGCGATTTCCTTGCACACATCAATCCAATTTTCAACATTCCGCCGATGCCGTCATCATATGCCGGCGCCAGCTGCCTTTCTTTTTGCATAAGCTCACGGTCGACTATATCGTGGAAATTACCAGGAAGATGCATCAAAATCCATTTCTGCAAATCCATGTCTCCACTGAACATATTGTCTATAGGCCTTTTCCTGGTAAACATCTCAAGGATCACTATGCCAAAACTGTAGACATCGCCTCTTGTCAATACACCAGCACCCATGCCGTATTCTGCATTGCACAATATGATCAGTTATCAGAATCGGATGACTTAAAACAGAACATAAAATGATAAAATCAGTACAAAAATGTAAAATAGTATAAGAAACATTACCTGGAGCCATGTAGCCAATTGAACCTTTTAGTCCAAGGGAACTACTAAGATGAGCATTGGGTGAATTTTTTAGTAGGATTCTTGCGAGTCCGAAATCGGTGACATGAGCGGACATTTCTTCATCCAGGAGAACGTTACTCGGCTTGAGATCGCGGTGCACGACGAGTGTTTCACGATCGTGATGCAGATACTCCAGTGCTGATGCAACATCTTGTGCTATCTTCAATCTCTGGTTCATGTCAAGAGCTTTTACTACCTCAGAGTCTTCACTTCTTGGGTGAAGCACCTGCTCCAAGTTTCCATTTGGCATGAATTTAAGTACTAGTGCCTTGAAATCGCCAGCCGAACATATACTTATGATTTTAACGAGGTTCAGGTGTCGGATACTTCGAAGAACTTCACTTTCGGCTAGAAAGCTCTTGGAAGCTCCATGTATTCCCATTTTAAAGACCTTGATAGCTGCCAAACTTCCATCATTGAAAACACCTTGTAAACTGATCCAAAACTGCCCTCTCCAATCAAATATTCCGAACTGATTCTCCGGTGAATCAGCTTCCTCTTTAACCTGACGAAGGCCTGGATCTTTCTTTCTAGTTACGGAAGCAATGATGAATGCAGCCGATGCAAACGAGGCTATAAGTACAATTCTCAACCTCGAACCACTGGACTTTTTTCCAGGAGAATCACATCTCGGTAGTCCTAAATCGGGTACTCCACCACAAAGCTTGAGATTTTCGGAAAGGAAAACAGATGTCGAGTTCCGGAAAATCCCTGCTCTTGGAACCTCCCCTGATAGTTGGTTCCTGGACAGGTTTAAAACTTGCAATAACCTTAAAGATTCCAAAGAAGCCGGGATGTTACCGGCGAGCTCTTTCGAAGAGAGGTCAATATACTCTATACCTTTCAGTTTGTCTAGAGAATTTGGTATGGGACCTTAAAAAGAATTTCTAGACATATCTAAATGCAAAAGGCTTGAACAATCTCCAATGGTGAAAGGTATATCCCCTGATAATTCGTTGCTCGAGAAGTCGATAGCTTGAATCACATTTGGATTCCCGATTTCAGAACGAACAAATCCAGTTAAAGAATTGAAAGAGAGGTTCAAGACCATACTGAAACTCGAGATTCCGAATATATCACTCGGTATGGTACCATTAAGCAAGTTAAGTGACAGGTATAGCAACTGAAGACGCTGACAATTTCCCAAGCTTAAAGAAAAGGTCCCTTCCAAAAGATTGTTGCTTAGATGAACTTCAGCCAAGTATGTAAAGCTTCCGAGAGACTACGGTATCGTTCCCGAGAATCTGTTTCCATGTAGGTAAATATACTGCAAGTTTGGCAAAGTTCCTATTGAAGGTGGAATCGTTCCGGTTAAGGAATTGTGTTCGAAAGCTATCAGGGTTACGTTCACCAAATTGCTTATTTCTTCGGCTAAATTTCCTTCGAAAAAGTTGTTGTTCATCACCAACAATGAAAGTTGTCTGGAGAGGTTGCCTATGGAAGATGGAAGCCTACCGGTAAGCCAGTTTCCAGCCACCGAAAATACTTGAAGTTGGGTAGAATTTGCCAAAGAAGTTAGGAAATCCATGCCACTTGGTCCATCATTAACCAGTTGATTATACTGTAAGCTCAATATTTGAATATTTGGTAGGTTCCCCAGCCATGGGATTTGGCCATGGAAGCTGTTGTTTGCGAGGTCGACGTGAGTTAAGCTCGATGCATTGCCTATAGATGGTGGTATGCGGCCAGACAAGAGATTCCCTCCCAAGAAAAGGGTTGTTAAACTAGTCAAATTAGTAAACATATCCGGGGGAAGCGTACCCGTGAGTCTATTGACAACCATGGCAAACACAATCAATGAGGAACTATTGAAAAATGAAGGTGGAATTTCACCAGAGATATTCTTAAGGCCGATCTGAAGATTAATCAAGAACGGTTGGCGACCGAGCCCTTCTCAACAACAAGGTGAGATTTATGGTATATGACCCGTGAGAAAATTGTCCATGAATGATATGACTTCAAGATCAGAAAGTGCACCTAATTCACTTGGAACGGTACCTTCGAGCTGGTTGACCGACAGATCAATATAAGAAAGCCTTGAACATAACTCAACGACACATTCGATTAGAACCAAGAATGAGTGTTCTTAACCGAAAAAACCGACCGATTTCATGTGGCATGCTACCAAAGAAACTGTTGTTTTGAAGGTTGAGGTAGCTATGGAACGAAAGGTTCCCAAGGTGAGGAGCAATGGTGCCTACAAGGCCAAGGTTTTCGAGATCGATTCTCGTAACTCTCTGTTTAGTGACATTACAAGTAACACCAGTCCAAATGTGAAAGGAGAAGAGATATCCCAACTCTCAAGAACCCCAATAGGATCATGAGTTATCAGAGACTTGAATACAAGAAGGGATTCCTGGTCAGTATTGTTGTTGAACCTTGGCAAGCCTTGGGAACCACCAAGCAGTGGATGGAAAGTGAGGCAGATGAGAATCAGAATGATGGTTTTTGTGGTAATTTTTCTTACTTTAGGCTTGGCCACCTTAAGGAGAAGGATCGATATATATATATATGTATATATATATAACAAAAGTATATGATATACTGAATTTGCTGACATATTATAACACAAATAATTGGTTTGAATCTGTTTTCCTGCATTTACATTAGTCACTGTTTAAAGGATTTTATGAGAACAAAAGTAGAGAATAACCGAAGGATAAGGTTTTATATTTTTTTTACTCAATCAACATTACCTCACCGTTTCCCCCCCCCCCTCTCGAATTAGAATTTAAGTATGAATAGTTATATAGCACGGTGATTCTAATATATTTCTTAAAAGAAGCGATTGAATATTAAATGGTATAAAGTCGACAAATAAAATTTGAAGTAGTTAAGAGTGAACATCTTTGTCAGTCGATCAATCAGCATGTTATATTTTCGTGAGATCTAAAAAAGTTATGTAAATCAGACTTATTTTTAAACTACATAGATGGCTCCTACTAGTAATAAATTATCTATAATTTTTTTATTAATAAAATTGTCTATAAGTTAAATTAAACTCTATTAATGAAAGGGAAGGTTCCAATATTTTAATTTTTTAATACATCTAGGGTAAATACAATATAGTATCTATTCAAAGATCCTCAACTAATTAATTATGAACGCTCATACCCCTGTCGATGCTCAAACCCGTGATTTCTAAGGAAAATAACGAGTCCCTTAACCACTAAGATCAATTAATCCATGCCAATATTTATAAGTTAAACAGTGTACAAATTTCTCTTTTTACCAAAAAATGAAATACATTTCACATTACAAGTATTTGTCAAAAGGATATCAATTTAAAAATTATATATAATAAATATTAATTCAAGAATTATAATTCTTTTGATACTTAATTATAAGGCACTCCACTTAAATACAAAATATAAAAATATTTTTTTCATTTTTTTTATAGAATAACTTTTTTTCTTTTAAACAATTAATAATTTAAATACTTCATTTCAAAAAATAAAATAAGATTAAAATCTAAGAGAAAGAATAACTTACAATTTCTTTTTCCAAACAAATCAATATTTATCCTAAAAGTCAACTTGACATTGTATCTCTATAAAATAGTTTTGAATACATCCTTTAAAAATGAAAATTGAGTAGTAAATCAACTTATTTATATAATATAAAAATAAAACAAATCTTCTTCGTAAGTTTCTTAAATTGATTCGTAGGAATATAATCGTAACATTATAAATAAATAATGGAAAAAATTTAGTAGCTTATCTTTTAAAAAATTTAAAGTCGTTTATATTTTTGTTTCATTCTTGATTGATAAATGATAATATCAGTCTTTCTACTCATCGCCATCGTCAATATTTTTTATTTTTCCTTTAATTTTTATATTAGATCTTTAATTTTTCTTTGTTTTTTAAAAATTTTGTCTTTATGACACGTTTTCATGTCTTTATAACACATTTTTATGCTTTTATGACACATTTTCGGTTGTTTTACCGTTGTTTTAGTTTTTTTTTCTCAGGGTCGGATTTGACATCATTACGACTGATCAAGATGGTGCTTATTTTTAAGCATGCTAATCTTTCATGCTTTGAACACTCGAATTGGATTTGGACATTCGATTTTCATTCTTGGATAATTTTTCCAAGTCATTCGACTCTGATTTGTAGTTTGTCGGTGACCCTTTAGTAGCTTTATCATCTCTTGTGGTTTTATCGATGCGGTCACATATGTTTGTATCTATCTTTTGTTCGAGTATTTTATTAGGTTTTTAACCTATGATATAGAAAATGTCCTAATTATGTGTTTAGTTTACGTTTATGATTGTAAACATTTATTGTAATTTTAATTTCTTTTTTTTATTAATAAAACTAGTTGTTTCTATAAGAAGTTGATAGATCGGACATTAATCTTTGTACGTCTATTAATCATTTAAATACATATTTGAAAATAGAATAAAAATAAAATGTGAAAAACATATATTTTTAGTTTTAAACCAATAAGTATCTTTATAGCCATTTGGATATCCTATTGTCACTAAAATGAAAAAAAAAATGTTCCTTTTGACGGATAATAAGCATCATTATATTCGATTAGAATATAGAAAACTAATATTTTTTGTTTTTATGTGATAAATTTTGGCATGGTGAGAGTTTTGTCCGATTTAGATGATTCAAGGAACGAAATGAACTCAGACATTTTACTCAAAGCTCCGCTTGGCGTAGGCCACCGCCAATGAGCATTTGATTTAGGAAGGAGGAAACCTAATGTCTCCCTAGTTCTTCTGAGGATTCTCTCTACACAATTAGTGGGAAAAAAGTAATTCTCTTAATTCTTAGCCTCCAAATTTGGATATGGTTAATCGTCAGACATGATGTTAGATCTTCTGTACATGATGAAATTATCAAGAAATGAGAATATTACTTTTTATTACTTTTAAGATAGAGGAACAATTTTCTTTTCAAAATTTTACTGCTTCAAGTTAGAAGAAAAATTTATTTTTTTTAAACTCTCAATGCTTCAAGTTAAAGGAGCAATATATCTTATCATTTCAAGTTGGATGTGTGATTTTCTTTTTAAAGTTTCAGTGCTTCATGTTGGAGAAGCAATTTACATTTTTAAAGTTTCATTGTCTCAAGTTAAAGGAGCAAGTCATCTAATCTCACCGCCTCAAGTTGGAGGAATGATTTCTTTTTCCCAAAGTTTTACCACTTCAAGTTATAGAAACAATTTGCCTTTTTAAAGTTTTATGTCTCAAATTGGAGCATATTATGTTTTTACAGATTAATGCCTCAGTTGGATGAACAAGTTACTTCTCATCGCTTCAAGTAGGAAGAGTGATTTCTTCCACCAAAAGTTTCACTGCTTCAAGTTGGTGGAGCACTTTACTTCTTAAAGTATCATCACCTCAAGTTGGAAGAGGTCGTCTTCTTTTAGTCTTGCTCCATCGAATACGGAAGAGTACGCCATCTTCTTCAGAATCCTACCTCATTGGATGCGGATGAGAGGGTCATCATCTTTAAATTATGTCTCCTTGAGTGCAAATGAATGGATCATCTTTAAATCATGCATCCTCAAGTGTGAAGGAACAAATCATCATCTCATGATTCTGCCTCATAGGGTACGAAGGGGCATACTATACTCAAAATCTTGTCGAGTGCAAAGAAGCAAATCACCATCTCCAAGTCCGACCTCCTCAGATGCAAAGGAGCGAATCAACATTTTCATAATCATGCCTCATCAGATGTGAAACAGTGAACTTCACCTCATCATCGCAAGATCAAGCTTGAAACTGGATGAAATTTGTTACTCTTCAGTCTTTGCCCTATTCTTATTTTTCAGCAATGGCCAAAAAGAGACTGTTGTAAGTATCATTTTCGTCTGGGCCAAATCAAGGCCGAAACTTAACCATAAGCCTATCCTTCTACCCATTGTTGTCCAACCAAATCTTGACCAGGGTTTAAATTCAAACGTAACCAAAATAAAACTCGAGCATACAACCGAATTAGATTTTATCCAAGCCCACATTGACCCCAAACTCAAACCTTATCCAAAAAGGAAATCCCGACCTTGACAGAATCCTCCTCTCCTAAAACTATGTTGAGCATCATGGGATTACTTTAATCTTTTCTAAGCGTAATCGAGTCGCCAAGCATAGATCTCTTAAAAATATATTTTTTAATAGAAAGAATGATTTTATAAGTGTTCGATATAATAACACAAAATATCGATGATAATTATGATTTTTAAAATACACGCGTTTTATAAAAAAGAATGTTTTTGAACCTAAAAATAATTTTTACATAAATAAAATATTGATTAACACCAACTCTTGGATTGCCTCTTTATCATTGGAAAAAATTAACTTGGCGGGCCTCGAGAGTTTAGACTTCATAAATTAGAGCATATAGGCCTTGGTTTACTTGGGGCAGGTTTCTGACCCAAAATGAGTTTCATACTATTGTGTACCCAAAATGACTTTAATAAATGGTTTAGTATTCCCCCAAGCAAATTTTAACCTAAACCCACAACAACATAAGCCGAAGATTTGAATACCTTTTTAAGTATAACTATCCGAAACTGATTTATTAAATCTCTAATCCAGATCAGCTAACGTATAAACGAATGTGACCTTCCAATTTAATTTACTCTATTTATAAACACCGTAATTCAAATCTTTAACTTTACTTAAAGATTTAATACCTCGTTTTATTAAAACCAACGTGTTATGGATTAAAGCTTTGAATTTTGATGCATAATTCTTCCCAAAAGAATCATATTATAAAAATTGCCTTCTTTAGTTCCTTATTTTCCACTTCAAAAATGAACATTTATAAAAGAATCAATCAATCAATTGAAACAATCTAATCTCAGGAAAAATAATAAAACTAAAGGCAGCTTACTTGAAAGTAAGCCAATCATCATCATCATGTACCAACATCATTCTTCTCCCGCCGATTCTCGTACCTATATATATAACTCAACCCTACCAACATCTCCACGATTGCCGCCTCCGTTTTCTCCAAATTCGAGAAATGCAGCGTTTGGAACAATAGAACCGTTGGCCTTGCGTCCAATTTTTGCTGCTCCAAGTTCCTCTCTAGCTGCCACCTTAGTGTATCGCGCGCCACCGGAGCCAACCGCCCTATTATTTCCGCCAACGCCTCTTTCCACCATTCTGCCAACCCCTGGCTTTCGCGCTCATCCTTGTGACATTGACATCTCAGTTTCCCTCTCAGCGTTTGTTTCAGGTTTATCGGTAACATCTCGAACATGTGCGTGCGTGCGTCGTCCGTGATGATCGTCGTCGAGTGAAAGTAAGTCTCTGCATTGATGATTATGTTCGCGTACCGAAAGGCGAGCCCTGATGCTCCTACGGTGTTCGCCGGAGTCGATTGTATCAACCTTTGGTTTACGTTGGTGGAGGCTTTGTTGGTCATGGTGACACCGGGAAGTAAGAACCCGAACCCTAGGCCTTCGGATTCAGGTGATAGTTCGCTGCTTATGAAACGGGTTGCACCTCGCTTCATCTTAGATGCTATGAGAATCGGACCCGATTTGGAGATCTTTTTCATTTTATCGTCTTCTTTCACATAACGACCACCATAATCCGCCTCTGGATAGACCTTCGGCTTCATGTGGAAAGCTTTCGTGTGCGAAACACAGAGGCGTCTGATGGAACGTCTTTTGGTGGTGGTGGTGGTGACGGTGGCCAGAAGGCCCGGAGCATAGACTCCGAAAAGTACACAGATCCTCGCGTAAACAGTGCAGATGATTCGTGCCATTAGCGCTACGATCTTGTCGAATTTTTTGTTCCACAGGGAAACATGTTTGAAATGTCGAACCTGTTTCCTTTGGAAAGAGATTTTATCGTTGATGTTTTCATTGTTCGATCTCTGCATTCTTTTCTCCGATAACTCCAACTCGTTGAGGCCTGTCAAAGAGGTGTATAACAAAGACGTTGCCCTAGCATATTTCTCCATCTTCTCAATAATTTTCACTGCGTTCTTGGAATTAAAATCGAGGTTGCTGATGTCGATGACTCCCTGTTTCATGATCTGGTATGCTGTTTCGAACCTGGTGAGTTCTTCATTGACGCAGCGTTTACTCAAACGCGAAACAACGGAAGCAATCTGATTGAGATCCTCGAGCTTCTCTTTACAAGCAAGGCCGAGAAGATAAGATTCATTGGTGGAGTTCAAGAATACAACGCCAGCGGACCTCACGGTGCCGTTCCGTAGCTTAGAGAATTCCTCGTCGGTGAGAGATTTATACAAGGCAATGAGGCGTGACATATTTTTAGCCGTCTCGAAGGCTAAGATTTGAAGCGTCGGAGAAGAAGGCTTCTCTGGGAGGAACATGACGCAGCCATGAGTAGCTATGTCGTCCTCCATCTCCGCTGTCGACCACGCCACAAACGCCTCCTCCTCGACTCTCTCTTCCTCTCTCCCTCCTTTTTTCTTCTTGCTCTTTTTCTTTTTCTATGGCTTATCTCGGTTCAGCTAACACCGTTGGAATTGAACGTTGTGTGTTTAATCTGTTACGGTTTTTTGGGTTGGTTAGTTACTTGCCAGGGTTTTGGAGATAAATATGGAGAGATGATGAAGAAGATGTAGGCACGTTTTCCAAGCTTCTTCTTCTTCATTGAGACGCGTTAATTCCTAATTGGTCTTATCTGTTACTACCTTTTTTTGAGGAAGATTCGGATAATAAAAATGGAAATTATGATTCTATTTTTCTAAAATTTAGTAATTGAGTCAAAATAGATATTCTCCTCTTAGGCTTGAGAGACAGTTTTGACGAAGTCTTTTTGACCCCTTACATAATTAGTTGCCAACACCTTTATATAGTGTTGAAATCTTTATATAATAAGCAATTTCATTTATTTTTGTCTAATTTTGATTTTAGTTCCTTTACTATATTAAATTGAAGTTTAATTTTTATATTATATTATAGTAAATACTACCAATAATTATATAATTATGAAAATTTTATTTCCATCATCAATATTTAAATTTTATTAGTCAGATTATTTAAATTATAACAACTAAATTACCAATCATTAATATTTAATGAAAGTCTGATATGGTAATTAAAATTTTTGATATAACATTAAAAATTAAGAATTAAGATATATATCATATGTTGTTAAATTTTAGTTCCTTCTTCCATTATCTGTCGTTTATTTTTATTTAATCAGATGATCATACGTGTATTAGAAGATTAAATCTATTGAATTAAATTAAAATTAAGATCAAATTAAAATATTTCATAATTAATGATCATGAAGGTAATTTATTCATTATATCATATATATTTAATATCTCAATAATAGTAGATATATGAATTGATAGCATGATTGAATTTGATTTGTTAAACGTGTTTTGATACTTAAATTGATATTTTCAAAGTTGAAATGTGGTTAGACCAAGGACGGACGTATAATATTATATTAGAAGGGGCGAATAAATAAACTTTTTAAAAAATTACGAATTTATAAAATTTTAGGAAAATAAAATCAGATTTTCAACAAAAAAAAATTTAAAATATATAGAAATTTATTTTTTTTTAAAGGAACGAGCACCCCATCCGTCCCCTCATCCCTGGTTAGGACGTTTTTTTTGTTTATTAATTTGTTTGGTATTGGCTTTGGCGGTGTGCTAAGGTGTCAAAAACACCAAGAAAAACGTTAACGATTCAGTCAAAAATGACCAAGTCCAACAAAGGCCGTTTTCATTCGTTCTGAAATTGATTACTTAGTTGAAAATCATGCCCGCTTTTGGATTTTAAATATATATACATATACGGTTCCATAATTGACGAGGAAAACGATTTGTAAAGGGTTAAATCACATTTCCGCGTTTTCTTTAGGATTAAAGTGTTACATATTTATTAATATAAAATCAAAATATAATTATTTACTTCATCATATATTGTATAATGCATTGCAAAGTATCATTACAATTGAACCATAAAAATGTTTTATGATCCAATTAGTTTAACTTTGGATCCGTTGAGTCCATAAAGACGTTTTGAGTGTCTGACCATCCAAAGGACATGAAGAATTAATATGATCAGCAATTAAAGACGTTTTGCTGCAAAGAGTAGGAGGACTAATTTCTAATTATGCAAAGATTAAAGGGACTTGGGGAATATTTTAACAAAAAAAACAAAGTATTCTCTGCTCAATTGTAATGAAAATTTTAGTAATTTTCAATATAATTATGGTGGAAAAGAAAGTTTGCAGGTGAAGAAGGGAGGTCCTTCCCCATGTAAATATACCCTTAAAGCAATAATAAATAAATAACAGAATTAGGGTTGTATTTCTCAAAATTCTCATTTCTTTTAAAAATATAATTTGGTATTACTAAGATGCTCTATTTAAATAAAAAATAAAAGAAAAGAAAAACCACGCAGGGAATAATTTCCAACTCGCATTCCTTATTTATTCTCTTTCATCAATTCTATATAATTAAACAGCTCTTTATAATGGATCAAATAAACGACATTTATACCCATGTGTACTTCTCTGCCAATATGCAGGGTATAAATAATCGGGTAAAGTACATAAATGGTCCCCGACTATTAAAAGTTATAAAATAATCATTCGACTATAAAACACTGTTTTGTTGAGCACTTAAACTATTAAAAGTTATAAAATGATCTATCGACTATTCATATCTTTTTCCTCCATTTAAGTCTAAGGATGTTTTTTTTAATGAGGCTAGTATCAATGTCTTTCCTCTGTATGATTCTCCATTATAATCATAATTCTACTTTTAAAAAATGACAATTGTATGAGCTGGACATTAATCTGCTGATTGGGATTGATAAAATTTGATCTTAGAATCTTAAACGACTATTCAAACAATTTTGGGATCATATATCAGTTAGTATGTTAATGTTCAGCTCATACAGTCGTCTATTTTTTAATGAAAAATGACGAGTTTGGAACATATGAATAATCAGGTGACTATTTTATAACGTTTAATAGTTGAGAGACTCAACAAAGTAGTGACATATAGTCGGGGTATCATTATGTAACTTTTCATAGTCGGGGACTCAGTAAAACAACACTCTATAGTCAATGGACCATCTATGTATTTTACCCTAAATAATTCGATTTAAAAAGTAACTCATTAAATGTTACTATCCTAATTTGAATTAATATGTTTAATTTTGTATAAAAAATTTAAAAAATAAATTTGTTGATCGAACACGATTATGTTAACATTAATAATTAATCTTTTTTGACTTGGGTAGAAAGTTATAACTGGTAATCATTCAGCGGTTGCCCGATATTTAAATCTTCTGTCTCCGCAAAAAGGGAGAGGAAGAATAAATGAAGAAATAAATGACGTAGATTTTTTATTTTTTTTTGAGTAGAGAGATTTTATAATGACACGTTAGTGTCAGACATAGGTTAGCGAGTCCAGTAAATATGAACCTCGATTGACAAAAGATTTGGTTCTAGTAGGTAATATGAGCTTGTCAAGGTTGCAACTTTCCAAAGAGCATCGGTTGTTTGAGATCTTTTTTTCGAGACTTCTATTACGGAGAAATTTTGCGAAAAATGTTGTTATGCAGAGATTATTGTTATGTGGAGGAGATATAGAAGAGATACAATAAATGGAAGAGGTACGAAAGAAATACAACACAAATAATAGATTTAGATATCTAAATTTGTTATTCACAAAAATAAAATAGACTTGGATAATTAACATTCCGCATGTGTTATCCTGATTACATACCAGATAACCAGAGGAAAGAACAAAAGATGAGTAGATAGCGGCTATAAATCATGTTGGCATAATAATTTTCTCTTCAACATTAAAAAAATGGAATGATTCCCGGAGTTGGTGAGGCAAATTTGGAAGGATTATGAAGAGAGAAATAGAAAAATGAATGAAAAGTAAGAGAAGAGAATGCAAGTAGATGGAGTTATTGAAAGGATACCAGATCTGACAACGACGACGATAATAATAATAATATATAATAAAACAAGAGAAAAGGGAATACATGTTGCCATGCATCCGACCTTACATGCCTTTGAATTTGAACTTCAATTCCTTGCATCTATGCTGATCAGATTAGTGTGTAAATCTCTGATAGATCAGTGTCAGTGACTGAGGTACTAAATTGGAAAACGAGCTAGCTAGTTCACCACATTCCATGCAGTTATTTTAAATTTTCTATAACATCTAAATTACTTAATTACATTTGAATTTATCTCTTAAGCTATGCATATGACCAGCATGACTGTATCATATGCTAAATCTGCTACATGATATAGAACGATACTGTCAGGAGCAATTAGTTAGTATCATGTGCATGGTGATGATACATAGTCTTTCTATCAGGAAATGGGTAATTTTCAACTTGTCATCCTCAAACTCAGAGCAAATAGGTGTTAAAATATCAAATATAGATGAGGTTTCAAACAACATATGATTTAAGAATGGCCAGAATTATAAGTCCATTTAAGTATAATCTTATCATCAAACTAGCTACCTTACCTTGGGCCGGTCACCGAGCCGGAGCTCAAGATCTATATCATCAACCGAGCTAGGACTAAGCTGATCAGATATCCCAACGGGTTGGAGCTGGTGTCTTTCAATTGAATTCAGATTCGAAAACAATGGCAATATCGGTGTATCATCACTTCTCTTTCTCTTGCAACCAATCTCTTGTTTAACAATCAGATTCAAGCATGCAGACAAATTGGTTCGAACATAATCTTCTTCAAGACTACATCCAGATTCTGGAATTCCCGGACTCTTCTCTCGTTCATTCCATAGATCAGAGAAAGGAAAAACCGAAGTACCATGATTGGAATTAGGGTTAGGGTTATGATCATGATGAAGAACTTCATATTGGGAAGATGCTGATTGCTTGAGCCTAGCTCTATCCCTCCTGTGGACATTCATGTGACCTCCTAGAGCTTGAGCTGATGTAAATTTTCTGCCACAAAAGCTGCAAATATAAGACCTTGGAGGCCATACACAACCTCCAGCATCTTCTGCAAAAGCTTGCTCTTCCCATGAATCGCCATATAAAGCCTTTGTTGAAGCTTCAAGATGAGAACTCAAACCATGTCCCCTGTTTGTCCACATCCAATACCTTGCTTGATCCATTGCTTAGTTAAAGAAGCTGAAGTCAACAAGCCTGAAATCTTGAGAAACCGGAACTAGAAGAGGATGATGGGACTTGGAGACAGAATGAAAGAAAGACTAAATCAAGGTTAAAGACCTAAAAACTACAGCATCGGAAAAGAAAAAGGAAGATCCTAGAGTTTATAAACGGTGGCGTTGTATTCAAATATATCTTTTGAGAAGAGGGTAACAAGTATGTGACGCATACAGATATGTTTGGCAGATCAATCAAGCATTTGTGTGTAGGCCGGTTAAGCTCCCTCCTAACAATATATATATAGATGATGCAGCAAGTCTTCTGAAAAGTCTTAGATTAAACAACGAAGATTGGACTGTAGTTCCTGTCTTCTATAAGATAAGAATTAATACATAAATAATTGTTCAGTAGTTTAATTAACAGTCAAATTTTAGTACACAATAAGACATAAACTTGCTGATAAGTGCTTAATTTAGTTAATATTTTACTTTTAAATTACTCCTTAATCATCGGTTTTTGTGGCTTAATTGTTCATTTTCATTCATTTTCTGTGCAAGACGTTAGATTTTGGAAATTGCACTAAAATGACAGAATTCTGCAGTTTTTCTTATTCTCGGAATCAAAGCTGGCTGGAATTCAGATTTGGATTAAACTCAAGTTTTAGGATAATATTATTTTTATATTTTATCTTTGTTTTAGGTATTTTAGTTTAAATAGGTTTTAGTATTTTAATTAGGATTTAGAATATTATTTTAAATATTAATATTTTTTTAGGTATTTTAGTTTAAATAGTTTTAAGTGTTTTAATTAGGATTTAAGATGTTTTAGCTTGTTTTTAGGAATTTGAAGGCTATAAATATCCTCTCAGGGTAAGCCTAGAAACACATCTCTCTCATCTGAGAATAAAATCTTCTTTTTCTCTCTAGCTTTCTCTCTATTTTTCGCATACTTTTCAATTATGCTAAGTATGACTTTGGTCATGCTTAGCTAAATTTCTTTCAAGCCGAAGACTGAAGTGAATACTTAATTCCAAACGTAAGAATTGTAAGGTACTTAAATCGCTTCGGATTTTTCTCTCTGTTTTCTGAGTTTACTTTTCAAATCAAAACGATTCGACATTGGTCCGGATATTGTTATAGTTAACGTTTGAAGAAGGATTTGCTTATTGAAGCATATTCAGCTTTCCGAGAACACACTTAGATAAATTGTTTGCTAAGAGGAAACTGAGATTGGAATAAGTTATTGTTGAAACGACACAATCCGAGTTGGCAGTGAAGAATTGTCCTTGTAAGTCGACGTGAATCTTAAAGTAAAAATATGTTTCGATGATCTGATGAATTTGAGGCAAAGCTGAAGTCTAAGGCTGCTTTCACTATAAGTTTCTCTTTATCTCAATCTCTTTCATTTGTTTATTTAATTATTTTCTTTTATTTAATTTTTAACTTTTATTTTAAAAACAATTTTTAAAAACCCCTTTTTTAATTTTACTACTATTATTTATTATTTTATTATTTTTCATTTTATTTATTATTATCTATTTTATTTTATTAAATATTTTCAACTTTACCTGGAAATCTACCTCCTCATAAAATCAAAAAACAGTTTTACTAAATCAGAAACACCACAGTCCATGTGGATCGACCCTGCTTCTCTATACTACTTTTCCTTTCTATTTAATTAAGAAACCAGAATTATTTTGATAACAAAACGATGGTTATCAAATTGGCGTCGTTGCCGGGGACAAATGGCAAGTACTGATTTATTTTTCTAGTTTTTGATTTATGACCAGAAGAAACCCATGTGAATTAGTAGATCTAGATCCGGAGATCGAAGCACGAGCACGAAGAATCCACGCACAAACGCTTCGAGAAAAGAGAAAAATACAAGAAAAACAGGAACAAAGTTCAGAAGAAGAATCAAATTCGGAGACAAACTCTGAAGCAGACACATACAATGAAGATCAAATCCCGATGGCAAAAGAAGAACAAACGATCCGAGAGCTAGCCACAACTCCTGTCATTCAGAAGCCATTATACATCAATTTTCCTAGTGGCGGGACTCCGTTTCAATTAAAGACAAGACTCGTTCATTTTTTCCCCACTTTCCACGGCTTTCCCACTGAAGATCAACACAAACACTTGTTAGAATTCAACATGGTTTGCACTAGCATGAAAACACAGGGAGTTACTGAGGATCAAATTAAATTGAGAGCTTTCCCTTTCTCTTTAGCCGATTTGGCTAAAGATTGGTTATTTTATTTACCTCCAAATTCAGTTAATTCATGGGCTGAAATGAATCGAATTTTTCTTGACAGTTTCTTTCCAGCGGCTAAAGCAAGCGAGTTACAAAGGAGCATTCTTTCCATTCAACAAAAGAGCGAAGAAAGTCTTTATGACTATTGGGAACGATTTAAAAAACTTTGCGCACGTTTTCCGTAACACGGATTAAGTGAGCAAACATTACTTCAATACTTTTATGAATGCCTTTTAGCAATGAAGATGAAAATAGTGGATGCCGCCAGTGGAGGAGCATTAGTCAACATGACCCCAACAACAGCAAGGGAATTGATTTCAACCATGGGATCCAACTCTCAATAGTTTTCAAGTGAACCCAGCCAACGGGTTCACGAGATAAGTATATTTTCCCTTGAAAATAAGTTAGATAAATTAACTGAAGTAGTTAATTCACTTGTTACAGGAAAATCTGGAGCAACAAGAGCATGTGGGATATGCACAAGGCTAGACCATCTGACGGATTGCTGCCCGCTGATACAAGAAGGAGGCAATGCAGAAATCAATGCAGTAGGGAACTTTCCAGGTCCTCCATAAAGACAATACAAACCATACAATAATACTTATAATCCAGGATGGTGAGACCACCCAAACTTCAGCTACACGAAAAATCAAAAACCATAATTAGAGGAACTCATAGGAAAGTTAGCAATTTCACAAAAAAAATTCATTGCATCCCAGGAAAAATTCCAAAGCCAAACCGAAATACATCTTCAAGAGTTAGATAACCAAGTAAACTGACTAGCTCAAACTATGGGAAAATTGGAATCACAAGGAAGACTACCTTCTCAAACAGAGTTAAATCCGATAAAGAATGTTAGTGCCATCACACTCCGAAGTGAAAAAGTTATCTCACCCAAAGTTCCAGCAGAAAAAAGTCGCACATCAGAAAGAACAAGAGAATACACCACCTTCGGAAATACAAGGTACGTCTACCACCCATCCTTCTCTTTCTTCTCATGAAATCACGCCACCACCCTTCCCATCAAGATTGATGAAGCGTGATAAAAGAGTTGAAGAAAATGAGATCTTAGAGGTGTTCCAAAAAGTTCAAGTCAACATACCTCTTCTTGAAGTAATTCGACAAGTACCAAGGTTTGCTCGATTTTTAAAAGAACTTTGCACTACAAAGAGGAAATTAATGGGGCATGAAAAGGTAAATTTGGGAGAACATGTCTCTGCAATTTTTCAACGAAAGCTCTCACCAAAGATGAAAGATTAAGGTATGTTCGCTATAATTTGCAAAATAGGTGATTTTAAAATTAAACGTGACTTAGGATCTTCAATTAATGTTATGTCATTTTCTATATATAAAATGATTACTAACGAGCCTTTGAAGGAAACAGGAATAACCATAAGTTGGTTGATCGATCTGTGATCGATCTGTGATCTATCCAGTGGGAGTAATGGAAAACGTCTTAGTAAAGGTTGATGTATTATTTTTTCCTGCAGATTTCTATGTCATTGACATGGAACATGATAGGTTGGATACTTATTCCGAGGTACTTTTAGGTCGACCCTTCCTAAGCACCGCACATACAAAGATCGATGTTAGAAGTGATATACTGACAATAGAATTTGATGGTGAGATCATTGAATTTGATGTTTACAAAGCAATGAAATGCCATGATCATGTTGAAAGAATTAATTCTGTTGATATTATAGATCCTTTAATTGATGAATATATTGAATCTAATTTTTCTTATGATCTTTTTAAGGATCCTGAACTTTGCCACGAAGAGGAAGAAAATGAGTTTCAAAATATTAATTCAATCAATTCTGATTTATCTTTATCTTCCTCTAAAACTAAAATTTGACCTTTTGTTTTGCAGGTACCTGAGGTAGAATTAAAGCAATTATTGGAGCATTTGAAATATACCTTTTTGGGCGAAAATGAAACTTTTCCTGTGATCATCTCAAGTAAATTATCTGAAGGAGAAGAGGAAGCTTTGGTAGCAGTGTTTCGCTCTCACAAATAAGTCATAGGATGAACCATTGCCGACATTAAAGGATTAAGTTCCTCGACTTGCATGCACAAGATCAAAGTCGAAGAAGGAACAAAGCCATCACGAGAAGGACAACGCTGATTAAATCCACCGATGATGGAAGTAGTAAAGAAAAAAATTCAGAAACTCCTTGTTACTGACGTAATATATCCGATATCGGATAGTAATTGGGTAAGTCTGATTCATGTGGTTCCCAAGAAAACGGGAGTCACAGTGGTCGAAAATCAAGAAGGGGAGTTAGTGCCCACAAGAGTTCAAAATGGATGGCGAGTTTATATTGATTACAGGAAGTTGAACTCTCTTACTCGAAAAGATCATTTTTTTCTTCCTTTTATAGATCAAATGATTGAAAGATTAGCTGGGAAAACTAATTATTGTTGCCTTGATGGGTTTTCAGGGTTTTTTTCAAATCCCAGTGGCGCGAGAGGATCAAGAAAAAAAGACTTTTACTTGTCCCTTCGGTACATTTGCATATAGACGAATGCCCTTTGGTCTTTGTAATGCACCGACCACCTTCCAAAGATGCATGTTAAGTATATTTTCCGACTATATGGAGAAGGGCATCGAAGTCTTTATGGATGACTTCACGGTTTATGGTAATTCTCTTAATGAATATCTTGATAATTTAATTAATGTGCTTAAAAGATACTTAGAATATAACCTTGTTTCAAACTATGAAAATGTCATTTTATGGTTGATAAAGGGTTAATTTTAGGTCATATTATTTCCTTAAAAGGGATTGCGGTTGATAAAGCTAAAACAGATGTTATACACTCACTTCCTTACCCCACAACTGTGAGGGAAATTCGTTCTTTTCT